GCTTAAAAAGAGCTGTGCAGACAGAAGTTCCCAATTTGCAAAGGATTTTGACATTTTCAAATCTGGCTTCATTCTGGAGGGAAAAAACCCCAATATATTGACAGTAAATTCTACTTTGTCCACTGTTTGCTCCTGTAATCTAAGAAAAACATTTTGAATTCTTTTAAGTGTGCCTGATAGTATATATTGCAGAATAATAAAAAATCCTGAAATGTACATTCCCAAACAAGAATTCCCCTTCAGATACTATTTTCATCCCCTAATCCCACAGTTTCCCTCCAAAAGGCTGATGAAATCTACCTGGTTTATACAAAGTTTCAGGAGAAAGAAAGCTGATTTCATTAAGTTTTTCCTGACAACTCCAGTTTACACTTTGCTAGTATCCGATACTGACCACACAGTACGCTAGACTGTGGTTTGGGCTTTTATAAGAAGATGTCAATGACTGTTTTCTAAGAGATAACAAAATATTTACCTACAGATTTCTGTTCTTTAAATTCCTGTCAGAAGACACAATCTTGCCCAGGTCTCCACTACCGAAAGCACTAAATGGTCATTTGCATCTCTAATTTAGCCCAGAGCAAAACTCAAACTGACTGGAGTGTCCAAGGACTGACCCTCACAAAGTAACAAGCTCTGTCAGTAATGACTGAACCGTTGGTAAAGAGAGGGGACTACCCTGTGAATCACACAAGTTACCTCCACTCTCCCTCTTTAATTTGGATGATGGAATTTGAAAAGGCGGCTCCCTTGAGCCATGTCGCTGGCCAGGTGGGAGCAAAGCTGGTTCACAGAGGCATTGCCGCTGGAAGGGGGATGCATGGCAGGACGGGGGCGTAGAGCAGAGAGCTCCCAGAGGGCAGGAACGCCCAAGTGCACCTAGCGTGCATGAATAAGCATGCTGCTTTTACCACATCAGAGGTAATGCGTGCACCCTGCTGTATTTTTATCACCCCTTTGAAGCGAGACACTGATTGTGATGTAGGGGCAAACAGTGCTGTGGTTTCTAATGTTCATTGTGCCACATGTGTTTTCAAAGCTCAAGTCAGTGGTGGAAGGAGCCCCTGAGGCCAGGCCTGGCACAGCAGCATTTTCCCTGCAAAACGTCAGCACTGCCACAAGTCTCCCCGCTCCTAACACAGGGTGACGTCCAAAGAGATCCATGAGTGTAGTGGGCTTTAAAACTGCCTTTTGGCCATTCGTCCCTACAGAGGAGCTCTCTGGCTAAATTCAGAGTGAGGCCCCGCAGAGCAGCGTAACAGGACAGCCAGGGCTGTCCTCTCCTGTGGGAGGTACCTCATGGGGTCCTGTGCCCAGCAGCGTTTGCTATGTCATTGTCTTTCTCTGATTTGTAAGCACCCCCAGCAGCAACAGCTTCCCCAGAGCTCTGCCTATGGGGCTTCCGCAGCTTCTGCCCTCCCCTGCCAGGGTGACCGGCAGGCGGTGCTGGCAGCTGCCAGCCGAGCCAGCAGTAAGAGCAGAGCAGAAAATCAGCGCATCCACTAACCTTCTAGGGCCTTTTGCCAAATGAAATGTATATACAAGATCAGGAGGACCTCCAGAATATTTATGGTATTATGTTGGTGCTTTGATGGACAAGGAAAAAGAACAAGGAAATAAGGATGATAGCAGCCCTTCTTTCAATAGTAATTTACTTAAAGCTTAATTTTAATCTGACATTGAAACACACCCAAATGCAACTGAAAGACCAGAAAATACAGAGGATATCCTCCTTGTCATTAATTATATGCATCCATATAAGCTGTAGTTGTTCTCACTAGGTATAGAGTTTTCTCTAGGTATAGAAAACTTTAAGCCATGCCTCCCGCATATAGGTCAAACTATGTGATCCCAACACACCGACGTTTGTGCTATCTGCCATTTCTAGGTTCAGAGCAGTTCACATTTTATAAAGAAATAGTTCCTGTCCGTTTCCCAAGAAAACCAACGGCTCTTCCTTCAGACCCTTTCCTCCTTCAGGGCTCTGAAATGATACGTAGAGCAAGAGCAGGGAGTGATCATTAGGGGGAGTGTCTCTGATGGTTTGTCACTGCCTCCTCTTTGTGTCACAGCCGTCCCCTGGGCTGCCTGACCTTTGAAGCCAAAAGGCGTATCCGGTGATTTTTGTCGTCAAGTTTAAGAGGGAGCACCTCAGTATGCACCCCAAACATATTTTCCCTTATAACTCTGAGATGCGGTGTCTGCTTAGAATTAACGTGCCACTGACAGGCTAAGTAACCAGTTCGATGATTAGAGGTGTTACCTTATCGCAGACAAAAGAGTTCAGCCATCCTTAGGTGAAAGAAGAAACTCACTCACCAAGAGTGAGAAATGAGAAAATGCACAGGCTATGCTTCAGATAACATGTGCTCATACCCAGTTCTGCTGGAGGTAAGCCATCGGAGCAGTAGTTTGCATACTCTGCAGTTCCTTATTAACAGTACGGCCATTATGCAAATTAGGCTTCCCTAGTCGAACGCTGGACATGTGCAGGAAAGAGAAATAACCATACAGTTATGAGTTAATAAATGTATAGCTTCTTAAAGCTCTGCCAGCTAATAAAAATTAATTCCAGTATTCTTAAATGTTTCAAACAGAAAGCACGCTCAAATTAGTAACTGGGTGTCAACTCAGAAGCCCAAACGCTTCCTATGAGCTAAGAACATGACCGTATTTAGCAACAGCTCTCTTTCGTTTTCATCTTTGCCCAACTGAAAACAAAAAGACACATACACCACGTGACACATCTTAATAAATAAATACTGCTTACTTATTACTGAAATACTGGCTATTTAGATTCCTACCTATGAAAACTAAGAAAATTACCTGAATATATGGTGTTTCTTTGTATAGTGATGGCACTGGTTTTCTTCTGGTTTGGGTGGTAAAGCTTTGACCTAGGTTATAGGGTGAGCTCCACCAGGTTTTCCGACCACTTGCTACTCCTTTTGCTGCATACCTCGGAAGCATCTCCTCCTCTGCCCAGTGCTTGGTTAGCTAACTGCTCTTCACCACACCTATCCTTGCATGGCTCCTCTTTGTGAAACCTCGGCCATCAAATTACCATGCAAAGAGATAGTGAGATGATCTGCCTGACTCCTGCATTACTGGCAGGCCCTGAGCCCTGCCAAGCTCCCACAAGCACCGTGAAGCCACTGTTTTGAAGGGAAGGAAAGTCCCACTGGCAGTCAGCAAGAGACAGCCTGTCCTCAACATCTGCAGGAGGCGGCCACGAGCTGTAATGCAGTCACCATCAACTCCTGTAGCCGAGGTAGAGTTTTAGGGCACTTTCCTCTGTGAAGAATAAGAAAATACTACCAAATAAGATCTTTTTAAGGAGTGAATACTGCAGCTCACATATGAAACATTAAAAAAAAAAAAGCGACATGAAATGCAAAACAGGTCTTTTCCATACGGGGTATTATTATTGTTTAATACAGACAGAGCATGGCTACCATGTACTATCCTCTGTTCTGTTCCTTGTGAGCTACTCCCTTCCACTCTTCTTGGCCTTTTGTAAAAGAAGAGCTCTCTTCTTGCCTCCCAGCATTGATTTAGCTGTAATCGTATTAGTATGGGAGGCTCTTGACTGGCTGAGGTGACTGAACTTGTGATCTGAGTTATGTAGATCATGCCAAGGCTGACTGAGTAAAGGGCTTGGAGAAAAGTCAGAATACAGAGTATTTCCTACATATTAAGGTCATTAAGAATTATAGTTCCTGAAAGGAGAAGAAAAAAAAATAGGGGAAGTAAATGTAATTGTATGTGTGAAAGCAGAAGATGCTTAAGTGACGGGAAGACCTGCCTGACTCATTGTTCTGCTATCTGTTAGAACCACACAGTGCCCCTGTCACCACAGCAGTGAGTGCAATTCAGAAAAAAGAACGAGAGGTAACTTGCACTCCCTTCATTCAGTTATGCAGAAGCACAGGATTTTGCAGGCCAGATGATACAGCTGTTCAATGACTTCCAGCGCCCAAGCTCCAGCAGTGATGAGCGACAGAGCATTTCCCCACCCCTGTCCTGACCCCCAAATCACCCATACGGACCATACTGCTGCGCTTTGCATAGGAAACAAGGGAGTCTCTTCGGACCACCTGAAAGGCAGAGCTGGCAGTACGACAGTGCCCCAGGCGCGCCGGTGACAGCCAAAGCACGTTTCTGTGATGCCTCTTGCTGTGCACACGTGGGTCCTCTGTCTCTAACCGTGCCATTGGACCTGCGCCGTTGAGCTAGCTGGGGAAATCCTGTGGGATTTCAGAGACTGGAGCTGAACGCCCTTGGCCTTCTGGCTCCAATTTCAGGAGTGTACCCAATTTCCAGTGGGGTTCACCAGGCTGCGCAGGGCCAGGGTGGTGGTGGGGAACCATCTGGTCTGCTGAGCGGGTGAATGAGGCTTGTCAGACCGAAACTGTGAAGATATAAACCAAAAAGATAAGATCCATGGACTGGAGTTTCTGAACATAAGTAAAGGTGAGAGGGAAAAAAAAAAAAAAGATCCTGTTTACAGGCCAAACCAGCCAAACTCCTGGGAGCTCTCAGAAGCCTGAGGGCTCTCAGGTCTCATCTCAGATGTCACCAGCCTGTTTCACGACACCGAAGGTGCAGGTCGGGGAAAGCTAAGCGCAAGAAGCAGAAGGGGGATCAGCGCCCGGGAAAAGGCGGCGTCCCACCCCCCCGAGCGTTTATTAACACCACAGCCCTCTGACGGCCGGTGCACCCCTCCCAGGACTCCGCGACGAGA